TTTTAGTCTGGCATTTGTTGATATTAATTTTTTTTTTTGAAAATGTGGTTTTATTGTTTATAGAGAATATATTCAAACATACATATGTATATATAAAAATATTTACGAATATATATGTACAGTCTATCCACGTGATCTAGTATTTGAGTTAAGAAAAAAATTTGCCAAAAAATATTGAAGGTACACTCGAGTCAAAGTACGTTAGCAACAACCTGCAAAATAACAGGTTGATTGTTTGTTTTTATTATTACGAGTAATAATCAACATTATAGAAAGATGTGGAAATAAATTCATAATATTAATTAATTAAAAAATTAATTATTATTAATTTTTAATGCTCTCATAGCAAACTTATGATGTAGAAAAATCTGCTGCAATCTTGTTACTAAGCTTCTTTCTCTAAAGAATATTGGAATATAATTAAAATTATAATAATCTACTTTCTTTTGAAATATTTAAATATTTTTCTTGAATATTCATTATTTCGTATACTTATGAAATAAATTTTCTCATTGTGATGCAGATAAATGTTATTTTTTTTACTTATTAAAAAATATTTTAAAAGTGTTATAAAATAGAAAGAGTGGGGCTTAAGATACAAACTTGCTCCTTTTGGCAAATAATAAGTCTATCCTATATTGGTAGATTTCTTTATTAAATATCATTGAAAGCTATAATATTAATACATTTGTAGTCTATTTCAAGCATTTATATTCCAATAACAATTTTTGATTTTGATTTTGAAAATTCTTGTTTAAGAGTTCCAAATTATACGATGAAATTTCGAGTTAGTGCAGTACAAATTTCTCTTTGCATGGAAATTGTTAATTTAAATATTCTCTACTCTAAAATAAATAATTAACTGAATTTATAAACTGAATTTATATTTCTAAAAAACATTTTCATTTTATTGCATAGTCAAACAAAATTTTTTATCCTCAGTTTAATTTACTTATTAGGCGGCGTCCATCTATTAAATATACATAAAATGTAACATTATTTTATTTCATTTCTAAAATATAGATATTTTTCTGACAGCTCAAAATTTGACAACCTAACATTATTGATTAAACAATACTCGGCGGAGTATCTATAAAAATAAACCATAAGATTTATCTGCGTAGCTAAGGGAAGATAAGGTGCATCTGAAGTAATAATTTATAATGAAAACATAGCATAAAGGATAAATGAGTCCTCTCTCTATTTCCCTTGTAATGTGATTGATCACTGATGTAATAAGTGTATAAGTGTTCCTTTTCCTCTCCTCTTAATGTGATTGATCAATAATAAAATCAGACGAGGTGATATAGAACTTCATAATTAAAAGAAGAATATGGAGGTACATGGAGTCATACCTTCCCCTCTTCCCTTGATATGATTGATCAGTGATAAAACTAAAGGATGTATATAATAGATATAATAATTCTGAATTAAGAATTAATTAAGAGAGTCCATGGAGTAATGGATTCGTCACCTTCTCTCTCTTCTAATTGGGATTGATAGAACTATGAGAATGTGGTACCCAGGCAATCTTGTGTAGGAGTTAAACATATATACTTCAAACAAAGAAGATCTTCAAACAAAGACCTTTTATTCAGAAGGTCTGGTATTTTCTTAAATTCAAAATGTTTAGTTTGTTTATTTACTTAATTCATTTACAGATTACTGATTATTGATAGATTTACCTATACAAAGTTAGGTAATTAAACCAAAAAGCTGTCAACCCTCAACAAATAGCTAGACACCCTTCTTAATCCTTTGTGCAAGCTAAACGCATGTGTACTTATCTAGGATTATACTCATTAATAATTTTAGTAAAATACATGAGATCCCTATGAGAAAATTATTAAGTTTCATAGAAAACTTGCAATGATTTCTCAACTCATAATACGCAGGTAAGTAAATGGAATATTAGGAGATCAGCCTTTCTTAATTAACTGCAAAGCTTTTTTGATTTCACATAATGTTAGGAGGAGGGTTAGTTGTTTTATTAACAGATCGTGCTTATAGACAGAAGAAAATATGACAAATATTGCATTTGCTTTTATGTTTAGATAACTCGTGTACACGAGTTATCTATGTTATCTAGGAACAGGAGTTCAGGTATCCTATCCTCGATCATCAACAAGTAAGGAATGGTGACGGGACATTGTGATTGTTGATAGAAAAACTCTTTTCAACAGTATTATCATATTATGTATTCAACTCTAGGAAATCATGTTCTCTGTGATCACAATTTTAACTCATTATATCCCTCCCATTAATATGAGAATTTCCGAAATGATATTTAATAAAAATTTAATATTTTACAATCACTTATTTACTATTTAACGGTTTTTAATAAAAATATTTTATCTTTTTTATTTATTTAAACGTTAAGGTATCAAACAAGAAGCAAAATATTTTAGTTTAAATTAAAGACAATAGGGGTCATCAGATATTTTATCTTTTAAATTTTGATGTTATGTATTTATTTATTCTTTGCATATTTTTTTATATATACGAGTATATCTATTAAATATTTAAAAAATTAAATGCCTTTTTAAGATAATAAAAAAAACCACATATAAGTAAAATTTTTATTTGTTGAATGCGTTGCTTATGTGCTTCGACATTGTCCAGTTCAGGGAAATTGCAGGTAAAGCGGATTTAAAGATGGACCAAAACTACCTCGTGAAACAGAGATTTACAGATGGATCAAAATATAGAACTATTTCATATACATACAGTACAAGGTTTTCTAAACATTAACTCTCTCACATAAATAAGGAAATAAATCAATCATTAATTAGAGAAACAACACTCCAAATAAGATTAAAACGCTCCATGACTACCGAGTTGACGAATAAATGGGTGCTATGAATGGGTTTACGTGCGTAATACTAATTCATTTTATTCTCTTTATTAAATTTTTGACCTTAGGTCTATTGTAAGCGTTGGACTATATATGTAAGTTGTTTTGATAATTAATTTTACTTGTGAGTTGAATGAATTATCAAGTGTCAAAAAGGCAGTTGTAAAAAAAAAAATAACAACATTACCGGTTTTTATTATCTCTCATTAATATTGCAGGTTTTATTCGAAATTGTTTTTTAATGGGGTTCACGTCTACACTAGATAGATTTTGGCAAAATTTTTTTGCTTGAATACAAAGATGATTTTGATGCTCTAGTATATTAATTTTTTTTTCAAAGAAAAAATTATTATTTGCAGGGAAAAAGTTGGATTACATGCGTCTTCGTCAGCTGGAAGATGTTACCTTAAAATTTATTTTAGTATATATTAATGGAACGAAATGATCCGAAAAAACCAAAGATATATGGCAATATTCAAAACAGCTCTATGGACAGTCAGAAATTTAATTATTTAAAAATGAATAATAATTTTTGTAGCTGCAATTCACTACCGTTCGGAGTCGTAGTACTGTACTATAGTATGCAATAGTACTGCACTGTTGTACTATTGTATTGTATAGTGAGTATATCATCATAACTGACGTCAAATTTAATATTTGAAATTAATTATATTGAATTTATCATATTAAAGTAAAAAATTAAAAAAACGTTATAAAAAAACAAATAACAAAGATTTTGACAACGAACTCTTTGCCCTTTCGTTTCCAAACGATGTTTTAATAAATTTGAAGAAGAAAGTGGCACTGAGTGAGTAAAACATTGAGAAGTCCTTATGACAGCAATGATAAGATCACGTAATCTGGTATTCACACTGTTAAACACAATGAGAGCGATCCGAAAAGAACTGGAGCGCACGATTCTGGTTAACTTACAGAAGTACTTTCTAAAAGAGTGAACACCACAAAAGAATTATATATTATAAGAATTGTATTACACATAAGAGTATATAAGTGCATATATAATTCGAACATGCCTCAGACATTTTTATAATGTCTTTACTTTATAACTTTTTAGTTATATATAACGGTGGTGTATTTCGACAAGTGGATCATCGCAGCGATGACTTTCTATGACTTTGTCCGAGACTATAGACGATGCAAATTTAATATCTTCTAGACCGTTTCTTTATTGGCTTCATAGATATAACAAATGTAGACTTGTTGGATTTTCTTAGCTTTATCTGGAAGACTAAATGGTTTATAAAGTATAACACATGAAAATAATAACGTTTAGTGTAACTCGCTTCTCCCAGGCAAGGTTGATGGCTTTCGAATGAATAAGGTGTACATGTTTCCGATAATTCTATCAGTATACGCTCTTTCAAGTTAACTGCAAGAGTTGATATAATAGCATACGCATGGGGTGCTAGCTCCCAGCGAAGCGGACCACTGAGGTTCCGCTGGTCTTTTGTACCTGATTTTTTGTGCTATAAATTCTTACTGATAATGTAATATTTATTAACAAATTTAGAACTAATATTAAAAATTTGTTTTATTTGTGTAAATAATTTTTTTATAAGTAAAAAATATAGTGAAGGTTTGAATAGTAATGAAAAAAAAAAACAACAACAAAAATTTGATTAATTTATTGAAATTTGGCTATACGCAAATAAGCGTTGTATGATCAGCTAAATTTTAATAAATAAATCAAATTTTTGTTGTTGTTTCCTCATTACTATTTGAACCCTTCTCTTTTTTTTTATTTAAATATAACAAAAATTAATTTACACAAAAAAATCAATTTTAATATTAATTCATTGTGCATTTATAGCATAAAAGATCAGTCAGAAAAGTTCGTGCTTCGCTCTGCTGGAATCTAAAATATCCCATAAATATTTTATTATATCAACTCCTTAAGTTACCTTAAGAGAGCGTATGTTGATGCAACTGTTCGAACCCTTCGCCATAACAACCTTCACATTGACAAAAAAAAGTCAATATTAAAAAAAAAATATTTTTTTTTTAAGTGTTAAGTAACTTTGACAGTTTTCAGTAAATTCCACAAATAAGTATTAGTTAATAATAATTAGAGCAAATCACTTAATAATTTTATTGTTTTAAATAATTGACACGTTTTTAAACTTACATGAGTTTTTCCATTGTTGAAATTTGTGATATAGAAAGCAGGAGCATATGAAAAATATTACACAAACAATAAGCAACGTCAGTATCACTCCAATCCAGATATCGCTCACAACTCTGGAGTACTCCACTTCGTCCATGTGTGTGTGACCAATGCGCGGTGGTGGCACACGTCCAGCTGTTGTAGGCAAGCCAATTATAAAATCATCAGATGCACCATTCACTACAATTTCTGCATCTTTGTGCTCCACAGTGAAGTTGCCCAGTGCCGAATCTAAGCCAAGTGCCAGTTGCTCTAATTTATTTATTAATATCGAGTAATTCTGGGGTAAATCGAAAGATGGAAATTCTATTTTTTCACTAGTTGCCGTCACATTCGAAATCAATTGCAGTTCAGACATTTTCGAAAAATGCACAAATAATTTTTATTTCAAATTCAAAAAAATATTAAAATATATAAAAATTGTTTTTATTTATTTTCATATGATTTTCGAGAGCTTAAATAACACCGATCTTTTTAGCGTCTGCAGTCACGTAACTCCGTTTATAGACTAAATTTTTTGCAAAAATACGAATTTTTAAGATTCGAAAATCTGTAAGATTTTCAATTTTTTAACTTAAATCAACTGAAATTTTTCTTTTTTAGTTGGATTTTGTATCTTTTTTTTAATAATTTTTTTGTTGTATATTTGGTACAATTTCTGTGTTGTGCTGAACTTTATTAACACATTTGTGCTAATAATTTTGGAATATACTCGTTTTAATTTAATTAAAAATCAAAACAATTCTAAAAGGCTCCGGCTGTTACTGGTACGAATTATATACGAGGCGAATGCGTATCTTTGCGATACAATTATCTATGATTGTGTGCACGAAATATGCTCATATATATAATATTGTAAGCAGCACATTTTCAGTTGTTTATTGCTTTCAGATACGATTACTTAGAGTATTATTATTCTGCCGGTAGGTGTGAGTAGTTAAGTTATCTCCGCGTATATTACAAATAACTCATAGAAACAAGACAGGCCGTAAGATACTTCATGTGTATACAATATCTATCTATAAGTTATTTACCGACTTAGTTTGTCAGTCGTGTAAATATTTGTTGTTGCTGTTAAACTCCTTGAAATGCTTTTAGCATTATTTTGTTATATAAAATATATAGATATATAGATATATATTTTTTGCTTGTGCTGTTATTATTATTGTTAACTTCATTCAGTGTTGTGGGCTGTGAATTGTGTTGTGTGCTTTGTAATTAAAATGTCTTGACTGCAAAAATTGTTAGTTGCAAATGTTGAGTTACTTTTAAGATACACTAAATATACTACTAAATTAATTAAATAATTAAGAGCAATTCGTTTAAATGTGTTACATTTATTGCTTATTTTACTGAAGTTATTTTAGGTATATTTTGTTTATTTATTTTTTTTTTTTGTGTTATTATTGAAGTACTTACAACACAGAACACTTGCACTTGGCATAAATTTTCACCTGCACACGTTTACGACTGTTTTTTTTTTGTTTAAAAATATTTTTTTACAATTTTTTTTATTTATATATATTTAATTGTATATATTTGTGCTTTTTAAAGAAAAAGTGTTATTTATATTTTAAGTCAAAATATTTTTATTTATTTTAGTCAGTATTTGTGTTGTTAATATTTTATGCACATTTTACAAAATTTATTGTACTTTTGTGTTAAAGTAATTATATAAAAATTAATTGTTAAGAGCAGCACAAGTGGTCTTGCATATCATAAATATTAAAATATTTCAATTTTATTAAATAAAATAAAAAAAAAATTATTTGTTGCACAAATTAAGTTAAATATTTTCTTTAAGAGTTCAAAAGTTGATTTTAAATATTTATTACAGTATTATTTACTGGAACTTATATTGTATGTTATACTAATATATAATAAATTAATATGACATTCTTAACAAATATTTATTTTTACTAATAAAACACTTTACTATTCTATTTTTGATTTTGTATTTTATTTTATTGTAAAATTAAACATAATTATTATTTGTAATTTTTTTTTGTTTATTAAAAAATAAATTACTTGTAGTACAAATTAAGTTAAATATTTTCTGTAAGGGTTCAAAGGTTGATTTTAAATATTTACTACAATATTATTTACTGGAACTTATATTGTATGTTATACTAATATAATAAATTAATATGACATTCTTAACAAATATTTATTTTTACTAATAAAACACTTTACTATTTTTGATTTTGTATTTTATTTTATTGTAAAATTAATCATAATTATTATTTTTAATTTTTTTTGTTTATTAAAAAATAAATTATTTGTAGCAAAAATTAAGTTAAATATTTTCTGTAAGGGTTCGAAGGTTGATTTAATACATTTATTACAATATTATTTATTTTTATTACTACAACTCTTAACTATTTTTGATTTTGTATTTTATTTTATTGTAAAATTAATCATAATTTAATCATAGGTTAATCATAAGTTAATTTTAAATATTTATTACAATATTATTTTCCAGAATTTATATTGCATGTTATACTAATATAATAAATTTGTATGACATTCTAAACAAATATTTATGTTTACTACTACAACACTTAACTATTTCTGATTTTGTGTTTTATTTTATTGTAAAATTAATCATAATTATTATTTGTAATTTTTTTTTTTGTTTATTTTAAAAATATTTTTAGTATTAACACATTCATTCACTGAAAGAGCACCAACAGTGCGTATGAGTAACAAAACTTTTTTTGTTTACTTTGTGATTGTATTTTGTTCACATAATAAATTAATTTTTTTATTAAAAATGTCACTGTTTGTAATTGTTTTAAATTTTTAATTTATTTTACTATATTTCCGCAATTTTCTTGATTTGCTGTTTAAACATTAAAGCACTTCATGTTGCACTTTTTATACAAAATATATATAAATTACTAAATTACACAGAAGTCATTCATTAAATTTAGCTTTTATTATTCACTCTTGAGTGTTACACTTAAATATATTTCATATACACAACAATCTTTGTTTATTTAAAAAATATTATATTTGTATTATTTTCTTGCACATTTTTTTTTAATTTTTTAAAACATATTTTTATTTCTTTGTGCAATTTATTATTTTTTTTATTTTATTTTATTTTAAATTGAAAACTCATTGAACTCGTAGAGAATAAAAATAAAATTCCGCGCTTTTGGTACAATAAAAAACAATGAAAAAAAAAAAAACAAAATACCACATAACGCATTCAAAAGCCGGTAAAGATAATAACTTCAAAATACAAAATTAAGACTTAAATACTCATAGATACGCGCAAATATGCCGCAGTCACTTTTAGATACTAGCACAGTTCGGTGCTCGTCAACAAAAATGTATCTCAACAAAAATATTGAAAATTTTGCGGTTGAAAAACTGAACTTGTGCAAATGTTTACAACAATTAACTGCGTCGCTTACAATCTTAACCGAGTTATTTTAACCTGACTGCGGCAAAGATACGGCAATAACTTAAATGCCAATAAAAAGAAAATTAATATATATGAGCAAAACAAAAAAAAATTTGTATATATATATATATACACTCCGTTTAACTCAAACAAATAACAGCAGAAATAAAAATAAGAATAAAAATAAAAACAAAAATACAAAATAAAAATACAAAACCAAACGTTATGGAAAACGAACCTGCTGTACTCACTTCACTTCTATGTTCAGTATCTTTACTTTATTCTTATTTCATAACGAAAAGCAAACTTTGTCAATTAGGTTCTTATATCGTTCAATAAGTGTTTTAAGCACATGATTTCACTGGCAACGTCATGTGAGATACGCCACAGTTTTGTATCGGAGCGCAGATACTTTATCTATAAGTCTCAGCTTCTCAAGTAGCTGCTGCCGTATGGAAATATTTTTCATACACATATGTATATAATTTTGTTCTTGTTTTTGTTGTTTTTGTTGTTATTTTTATTTATTTATATATTTACTGCCTTATTAATATATATGAATTTTTGTGTACTGAATTTTTATTTATTAAATACTCCATTTTATCTCGTTTACTGTTTTTGGTTGTGCCTTTTTTTTTGTTTTGTTTGAATTTTCATTTGTTAAAATAATAATTTTTATTTATGAACTTTATTGAATTATTGAGTGTGTAAACATACAGCAATTAACATTTGTTTAATTATCTTATTTATGTTTATAATGTAGAAAAAGCAGATACAATAATGTCAACTGTTTTTAAAGGTCTTACTAGGTTGTATCAATTTCCGCTCTGGAATTGTACAATTTTTTTTTTCGTATTTATATGCTTTTGATATTTTGACTTATATTCTTTTGAACTTTTTCATCATATTTTTATATATCTATTTGTTAATCATAAATGTAAATTTTTATTAACGACATTTTTATTTAAAATGTCAATGCACTTGAAATAAATACAATTGTAAATAACTGAAAAGTTAAAAAAATATATTGACATTTGCGATGAGATAGTTGGAAGTGATTAATGTGTTTAAAAGTTAACGACTACACGTAAAGGAATCGTGTGAATACCACTAGGCTTACTACAATTCTTTCAGATCATTGGTGTATAAGAACCCATGCAGAGGAAATGTGCATTCCTCATAATCTTCACTGCAGAAGTTATGGAAACACACAGGAAAAAGAAACCATTAAACACTTTTTCTATGAATGCCCGGTTTTGGCGTACAGAAGACAAAGATTTTTAGGGTAGTGTTTCTTTGACAGTTTATTGTTAAAGACGAAAGACGATTTAGATTATATAAATTCGACGGGATAGATTGAACCCACGCAGAGAAACTGCGCATTCCTCATAATACTTAGTGCAGAAACTGTGGAAACCTGCAGAAAAGAGAAACACTTTCTTTATGAATGCTCGGCTTTGGCATCCGAAAGAAATAGGCTTTTAGGGAGATGTTTCTTTGAAAGTTTATCGGACTGTTCATCGCTAAAGACGAAAGACGAGTTAAATTATTTAAATTCGACGGGATGAATTTAGTATGTACTCTTTATCTTAGGGTTTCTTGTGATAGGATGGATTTAGTTTTTACTCATCTATCTTAAGGTATATGCTTTTAGGAAGATGTTCCTTTGAAGGTTTATAGGTAAAGGAGAAAGATGAGTCAAATTATCTTAATTCGATGGGATGGATTTAGTCTGTACACTTTATTTTAGGGTTTCTTGCGATAGGATGGATTTATTTTGTACTCATCTATCTTAGGGTATATGCTTTTAGGGAGATGTTTCTTTGACATTTTATCGGACTGTTTATCGCTAAAGACGAAAGATGAGTTAAATTATCTAAATTCGATGCGATTGATTTACTCTGTACTCATTATTTTAGGGTTTCTTGCGATAGGATGGATTTAGTTTCTAGGTACTCATCTATCTTAGGGTATATGCTTTTAGGGAGATGTTTCTTTGACAGTTTATCGGACTATTTATCGGTAAAGATGCAAGACGAGTTAAATTATTTAAATTCGACTGGATGGATTTAGTCTTAGATTTACTCCTTAATCTTAGGGTTTCTTGAGAGGAATGTGGTTGCAAAAAAGTCAAAAAATCGCTAACTGAAGTACGTGGAAATATATCTAATGACCTGCCACTGTATTCAATCAACTACACAAAAAGGGTCAACCACGAAGGTTGGTTTAAAATTTCAATTTTTTTGATTGGTTTTAAAAAGACGCTTACTAGGCCTCTTGTATAAAAGAAGAAATTTTTTCGGCGTTTAGACCAACTAATTCATCGACTATATTTTCTTTAGTGATTTATTATATTTTTTAAAAACATCCTTTGCGTATTTAAACAATTTTAAATTATTACTATTAATGAATATATTATACTATTTAAAGTAACGAGTAAACCATACTGGTAGGTATTATTATTGGCTATAGTTTTATATGTAGTTTTATTTAATTTTTCTAATCCAACGTCTCCTTAGTTCTTGACGAGATTTTCTAGGGTCTCAATTTTCATTTTAGTTTTTGATAATAAATAAAAATTATTTATCAACAATTAAATTTAAATGTTAATATTTTCTTATCGAAAATGACGCGTCTTATGACAAAAAGAAATTATTTAAAAGATAGAAGGGTTTGAATAGAAATGAAATGACAACAATAAAAATTTTTGTTGATTTAATAAAATTTGGCAGACCATACAACGCTGTTTCGAGCATTGCCAAGTATTCATCATCAGTGGTCTTAAGAAATATTCGAATTTCTTTTTCATTAGTTTAGAACTCGTGCCTGTCAAATTAGAAGCGATGATTAATCGTGTTTTTCCAGAAGTAGCCAAAATCATATTTTTCTATTCAGTGAATGTATTAAAATTTCGACAATTTGTTTTGAGTCACCAAAGATGAATTTGGTTCGGCATTCTCATTATAGAACACAATTTCTTTTTTGTGGACCAATTTCAGACTCACTGTTGCATTAGTCTGGAGCAGCTTATAATAAACAATTCTTTCCCATCTTTATGGAGCGAGTTCACTGTATGTGTTTCTGGATGCGGTAAAGGACATCTAGCGTC